TGCTGAGCCGCAGGAGGAAGGCTGCAGAGCTGGTGGCCAGGCCGCAATTACAACCCTTACTTCCTACTCACTGGGCTCAGAGACTAGAATTCCACCCTCTGCCAACCTGAGTAATTCTGAGTCAAGAAAATTCAACATGTTTGATTAGCATCTATTTCATGCTAAGTGAACGCAAGACCTGGACAGAGGAGCTTCTCCATAGCTTTAAAAAAAAAAAAATCTTGAGATTATGAGGTGCGAGAAAGAACATCACAGGCCAGTCACAGGGGAGCATCCCGCTGAGATTTAGCCTTGATCCTTTTTGCCACTGGTTTTTGTACCAAAAACAAACAAACAACAACAACAACCAAAAAAAAAAACAGAAAAATGTTTTCATGGACAAAAGGAATTCACTGTTTTCCTGGGAAGAGCCGCCAACAAAAACTCAGGTAGGTGGGGAAGGAGGAGGAATTCAGACAGAAAGAAGAGCTCTGCACTGGCAGGGGGGCTCCTAAGTAGGAGCACTAAGAGAAAAGAGTCCTAAATAGGGGGCCAGGTTGCCCTCCAGCCTCCATTTCCTTGATTGGAAAGTAAGGACAACAGGCCGTCTATCTGCCCATCTCCCAGATCACTCAAGTGACCACACAGTGAGGAGGACCCGGAGAAGCTCACCTAACCCCCAATTGCACAATTAAAGAACAGGGGTCCAGAGAAGACTGGGAGGGGTAGGGTAGGGGGAGCACCTTCTAGGTGGACAGGATAGTGTAAAGGGGGCTTTAACTCAATAGACCCCCAAAGCTGGGTGAGGCAGGAATCCCAGTGAGAGGAGTCGTGTGCCAGGACACGCTGTTCCAGAGAACAGTGATAAGGCAGGGAAAGTTCAATGGAAACCAGGGTAGAGAGGCTCTTGGATGCCAGCACTCTGACCCAAAAAAGGATATTCAAAGGAATGTTTTCTTCAGATGCCACCAAACAGTACAGGACCCAGGTACCCTTCAATTTGAGAGTGGGCCCCGCTTTCCCTACCAAGCCAGACTCAACTTGTGGTCCGGGGTCTTTGTAACTTCGCCACCTGGTGGCTCCCCCTGGCTACCCACACCTCCACAATGGTCACAGGACTTCAAGCTGTTGTACCAAGATCAAGGCCAGACCCTCTTTGCTTAGAAGACCCAGAGAGGAGGTGACAAATGGGACTGTCCATCTCCCTTCTCCAGCCCCTGTTGTAGCCTTGGGTGAAAAGTTCACAGTTTCAACCACTTTACCTCAACCCTGAACCTGACCTCTGGGGCTGCTAGTTATACATTCTATTTATTGCAATGAACATCAAATCATTAGCTCTGCAAACCGCTGGCAATTCAGATCAGGACTGTAGGCAGAAGAGGACTTCACTGATATCGTTATACAGTCCGAAATGGAATACTTTGGACTTTGGTGTCACCAATTTGTTGCCCATGCCTCTTCAGATAATAAAGCCGAAAGAAGCAATAGTAAACACACCGAGTTAAATTAGCACTCTTCATTGCTTGAGTCTTGCTGAAAGAGAGACATAGGCTTGGAGGCAGAGGCTACAATGGCTATCACGGGGCTGTGTGATCTGGTCCTTTGGCTCTCCTCTCTGGGCCTCAGTGGCATTCCCTGTAATGTGAAACAGGGCTCTTCCAGTTTCAGGATGCCGAAAGAAAGGTAAAGTGTTGCTCATTTTACGGGGGGAAAAAAGGTGACTGCTGCCCCCAAATCAAAATACCTCAAGTCCTTTTTCTAAACATCAGTGCTCAGCAGCAGAGGGTGAAAAGTCTGCCTGACCCAGCTTTTCAGAGTGTCAGAGCCTCAAGCCCCATGTACAACAAATAGCTGCTCTGGCAGCTTCTAAGCTGGCTTTGAGACTTGTGGCTAACACTGGAAAGCCTAGATGGAGCTGATGGACTGCTAGGCCATCGTCGCCAAACTGGTCTCGCTGAATCACCCTTGACGTTCTGCCTAGAAGCAGGGGTTGGAAGGAGGTGGGTGACCTCTTGAAGTCTTGGGCCAGGCCCGTGATTCTGTAATCTTTGCTTTCCCACAATTAGGGAGGGAGGCAGCAGAGTAGGAGGAGAAACCATCTATTACTTCCCTGGGATTTGACAGTTTGGAAAAAGGACAGGGAGACAGAGACACAAGCAAGAAAGAAGCCAGCCACGGTGAATCCAACCTCAGTAAAAAAGGGGCAGGACGCATCTCATCAGCTGCCCTCTGTCAATACTTGGGCACATCTGGCAGAACCTGAGGTTCGAAATTCACAGGCATTTTCCGTCGCACCAGCAAAGAAGAGCTTTTAAGAAGATGTACGGTGGTAAGAGGGTGTGCATCTATGGTAAGAGGGTGTGCATCTATGAGTGTATTTGTGTGAGGACCAACCCATCTCCCAAGGTGCTAGCTCTGTAGATGATCTATTATATAAAAGAACAGACAGTCCCCGCCCCCCACTCCTGAGCTTAAAGATGAAGAATCCAGCCTGTTTGTTCCAGGCAGATGTAATCACACGAACAGTCAAGTCTAGAGGGCAGGACACTGCATGAATAATTCAAGCACTCCAGTCACTTGATTGTGTGTGCAGATAAAACACCAGTCAACCGCTAAACAGGTCAGCTGATAAACTTGTTTGCTCAGGCCTAACCACCATCCGCCAAATGCACCCAAGACCCACACTACAATTAGTGGCCAGGTTTCTTCTGCACAAGCCTCGCAAGCTTAGGGAGTGGCCAGCCCCATTAGGTCAGGGTTGCATTTCTCAGCGCAAGGTTTCTTCACCTCCTTGCCTCTTTGTTCCTACACAGCCACGGGCGATTGCACCGCCTCAAGAGATTGCCATAACCCTGCAATGGCACCGCATGGGGAGCACACACACTCATCCTGGGAGACAAATGGGAACTGAGGCTGGCTGGAAGGCAAAGGTGAGTGTAGCGTGGGGTAAAGCACCCGCTTTGGGAATCCAGACACCAGTTCTACCCTCCTGTGCCCCTCTCCCCAAAGCCTCAGTCTGCCCACCTATAAAAAAGGGAGCAAATAAGCCATTTTCTGCCAATGGCAGCTGTGAGGATTACATGAGACAATGCAGCCAAACCTCAGGACCCCCCTCCCCCCACCCCCAGAGCCCAGTTTGCAGAATGGCCAGAAGTCCTAAATGTACACTGCTGCTTTTTATACAAGCCCCACCACCAAAAGCAACTCTTTAGGATATTTAACTCTTCCTGGATTCAGAGTGTCCCAAGGACTCTGGGAACAGCTTTGCTCCAGCCAAGGTGAATTCTTTAAGCCAAGGAACCATGCACTCACCAACACAGAGAACACCACCCATGCAGACCTCAACACGCAACGGCATATTACACCTTAATTACGAAGCTCTTAGAATAACTGCTGCTATAAATTTTAAACCTGGGTGCAATTACCCTCTTTAAACACACCCAAGATACTAAGCGCTATGGAGGGAAAAAAAAGGGGGGGATGGAGGAAGAAGGCGGCAGGGCACCTTGCATAACACACTGATGTTCCTGAACACCTGGGACCTAAGTTCTACTTCGTGCATTCTCATTGGCCCTATCAGACTTGGTCCATTCCCCCCTAAAGTTGAGCAGAACCTGTCTCTAGTTTATTCTCCCAAAGAGAAACATCTTCATACACAAAGAGGTCTCTGTTTATTATTTCTATGGGTCAATAAGTAAAAACCTGGTAGCCTTTATGGGCCTTCCTAGGGAGCTAATCCCTCAGGAAGCCACATGCTGGTTTCCCACATTGCTCAATAAACCCAGGCCCCTTTCTGGCTGCCCTTCACCCAATACAAGCCTCCTTCCAAGAGGAGAAAGAAAACCACAGACTCTACACAAAGCCACTGGAGCAGGCAGGAATCTACCAGCTTTCCAGGGGTCACCTGCCCTTCTCACCTGCCCTGGGTCCTGCCCCCTTAAAGAGCAAAATTTAAACCTTGTAAATGACTGTTAATTTAGAGCAGAAAATCCATTCAAGTCACGGTCACCAAAGGCTAGAATGAGTCAACAGCCTTCTGAGATTTCAAGAACACCAATTGTTAAAAAGAACAACCGGCCTGCCTGCGCCATTTAGATGTGCCAAGTCAACTCTAATCTCCAGGCCGAGCCAAATTATAGGCAGCCTCTCCTTGGAACACAAACACACAAACAGGCCTCTCCCACAGCCCAGCCTAGCAGCCGGACTAGTTACTGATATGCACAGAGATAAAGGGTGTTTGTATTTGCTCAGTTTGAGGTATACTGTTATTAGAAGAGTGACAATACGAGGTGGTTTACATATCCATCAAACAACACCACACTAGCTAAACTGGTTTGACTTCAGGATTTCAAAGCTGAGCTCAACTCCCAGCCATCACAAAAGTCCTGGCTGAGCTGCCTCTGGGCGAATTACTTCACCTCTCAGCTCAGCTTCCTTCTCTGTAAAATGGGAACAAGTCTGCCTTCAAATGAAGACAGAGATGAGAAATCGGCCTCATAAACGTATGGCATATGAATTTTAGTTCGCCTTCAATATTTTTAAGCAGTTAATGGATTGTTCCCTTAAATTCTGGCAGCTCAACCTGGCATGTGAGACTCTAAGTTTCATCTTATCAAGGCGGAACATCACATTTTCATAGGATCATGCAATGTACTCTAGAGCGCACTTACAGACACACTCTCCTGCATTTCCTCTTGAGAATTTTACATTAAAACAAAGCACCAGTCACCTCTAAGCTTCAGGAGTTTGCAAAATAGGTGCTGGAGGTGCAAATTTCCCTTTGCTCCTTTATTCTCCACCAAAATCCAAGACCAGGATAATTTCACAAGCTCCAATGCTAAACGTTCAACATGTCCAAGAAACCCATAAAGCCTCAGAGCATTCATTTCAAGGCCTGGATCCATTCACTCTTCCAGGAACAGAAGAACTAGGTTCACTTTCAAACAGAAAGGGACCTAAGAAATCCATGGATATGCGTATTTAAAAATGAGATACGTATTTTTAAAGAGAAAGGCACTTACCTGCTTGTGCATTTCAATGTTCAAGCCATAGGACATTTCATAGTACTAAAAGTAAAAAGAATTTCCATTAACAGAAAAAACAGAGAAATCTGTTCATTTTTCAAAATCAGCTTTTACTTGGTAAGGTTTTAACAAAACAGTGTTTACTAAAGAAGTTAAAATCAAACTCTAAAGCCAGAGATAGAGAGAGGTTTCAGAGCCTACAAGGGGTGAGTGTTGTTCCCATGTGACCAGAACATTCTATGTACAGCAGTAGAAAAGCTGGGCCCTCCCCCCTCTCCCACAGGCACACATGTGCCACATAACCTGTTTATACAAAGTTCGGGTTCAACAGGGACTCGTGTGTATACTGGGACCCTCATGTCCTCTGAGAGTTATTTAGCAATGTGTGGAAGGCCTCTTATGTGGAAAGCAGTGCAGGGAGCTGTGCTTAAGTGCCTTCCCTGCCCTTTCACAAACAGGAGAGTTAAACCTGCTGAAACAGACACTTGCAGAGGGGCAGAAGGTCTACCTACTGCCCCAGGGCTGACACATTCTCAAGTTGGGGGATCCCTGGGAAGGGGAGGCAGAGAGCTCAAAAAGACTCCACCACTGTCCTAAAGCCCTGAAGGAGCCAAAGGGAAGGCGGGGAGAGGGTTTATGTCCTACTCTGGCCAGATCCCAGGGCTGCAGAGAAGTTTCCAAACACTCCCAGGAGGTCTTTAAGAGAGATTTTTATCCAACCCTATGTGGACTGATTCAATCCTATCTTATTAGCCAAGATAGGGCAACCAGCCCTCTGGGAAACCTCCAACACACAAATTAAAGGGCACCAAGGTGGTGAAGCAGTGCCGGGCTTAGATGTGGGTTTCTCTCTCTGCCCGTGCTCTCATCCGCCCTCCACCACTAGCTAGAGCTAAGGGAAACTGGGGAAGGGTCAGAGGGCGCTCAGATCACAAGATGCTCCCAGAGCTCCTCCCAGAGATGCCCTAGAGCTCAAGACTCCCAGAGCCACACCGCACCCCCGCTGGCTCGGCCGCCCGCCTTCAGGCCCCTGGGCCGCCTCTCACCATCACATAATGGCGCTGCATCTCCGTCTTCTCGTTCGCCAGCTTGTCGTACTCCACTTTGAGGCTGCGAGGGCAGGAGGAGCCGGCTCAGGCCTGGAGCCTGCACAGCCTCCTCCGAACCCCTGGACTCCTGAGAGCCATTTTCCACTTCCCTGACACCCCCGGGGGAGCCCCATCCTCCCGCAGCCTCTGGACAGAGGGGACTTGGGTTCCCCACCACCGAGAGGGGGGATGAAACAACTTGAAACTTCCCGAGCTGAGCAAGTGGACTCCGCTAGGTCCAGGAGTGGGGGAGGGGAGCGGAACCCCGACGCTGGCTCACGGCCCCCAGAAGCCAGAGCGAACCCACCGGCGACCCCCGACCCTCACTTCAGGAGGGCCCGGGGGCGGGCGGCACGGGAGTCCGGAGGCGGCGAGCAGCCAAGGGTTAAAGCACCGCGCACGGAAAGGGGAAACAAAAGGCGGAGGCCCCGGCCACCCGGCCGCGGGGGTCAGGAGCCCCCTCCTTCCCCGCCGCGGGTGGCAGGAGCAGCGGCGGGGAACCCCCCTCCCCGCCAGCACCCGGGCGGCCCCCACCGGCCTTACCTGTGATACTGAGCTTGTAGGAACTGGAATTCGTCTTTGATCCTGTCACAAGACTCAGCCACCGTGAATTTAAACCCCGGCTGCCCGGGTTGATGGGGTGCCTGCAGTCCGCGACACGACGGGGAAAGCGCGGGGGCGTTAGAAAGGGGTGCTGGCCGCCGGGGCCCCCAGGCGGTGTCTCCTGCCCCCCCAACCCCCGCCCAATCAGAGAGGCCACCTTCACCGACCAGAATCTTCCTAGCAAGTTTCTCAGGTTCCCCGCGGGGGAGGGGGCCCCCAATCCCTCCCTATTGGCCGGAGGGTTCCCATTCCCAAGTAAGACACGGGCGGGGGAGCCAAGCCCGGCGAGTTGGAGACTTGGGTGAGGGGGCGGGAGGCAACAGGAAAACAAACAGTTCCCTGGAGCACAAGCAGACCCCCACGCCACACGGGCTGAATTAACCTCTCAACGGCGCCCCCCATCTCCATCCCCTTTGTGTGAGCGCGCGCGCGCGGGGGCGCGCACACACACACACGCACACACGCGCGCACACACACACACACACACGCACACCATAAAGGTAGCAACAAGGAAAATGGAGGTGCCAGCTAAACTGCCTCGTTTACCCTGCCTTGATAGATGCTTAAATAAACCGAGTTGCAATTACTCACCGGATGTCTGCCTTGCGGATACATGGCAGGGAGGGGTCGTGATTCCGAGAGCTTGGAAGTGCCGAGAGCCCGGGTCGGGGAGGTGCGGGGGAGGGGGTAGCCCAGCCCCAGCGGGGGGCGGCCGGGAAACCGAGAGCTCGCCCCCGGCCCCCCCAGCTCGCTCTCACAGCGAAATCCCAGAATCGGGCGCCCGCCCCAAGAGGAGACAAAGAGCCGCGGAGCAGGCGGCAAAGTCGTCGGCGGGCGCCGAGGCCGGGCGGCGGGCGCGGGCTTTGTGAGCTCAGGGCCCCGCGGGCTGCGGCCGGCCGCCTTCCCCCGGCTGCGAGGAGCGCGTCAGAGCCGGGGGCCGCGCGGACATCGTTGTCTCCCCGGCGGGCCGGTGCCGGGTCCCCAGCCCGGGGCCCCTGCCGGGGCGCGCGCGGGTCCTCTCCGGGTCACTCAGCGCGTCGCACCGGGAGGGGGCGCGCCGGGGCAGCCCCGGCATCCGGGACGCGCGAGTCCAATCCTGGAGGCGGCGGTCGGCGAGAAAAGGAAGGAGGAAGGCTCCGAGGTGGTGGCTTCGGCCGCAGGAACGCCGGAGGGTGAGGGCGGGAGCCCGGCGCGGGCGCTTCGACGCCCCCCCTCGGAGGAGAGAGCCTGCTGCTCCGTCTGCTGCTGCCGCCACGGCCGCGGCGCGCCGTTCCCAGGGCCGAGGAGGAAACTCCGGGCTCAGGAGGTGCAAATCAAGCGCCCCGGCATGCTAACTCCAGCGGGTCCAGGAAGCCTCCGCCAAGAGGATCTCGCTGCTCCCAGGTCGAGCGCCGCGTCCCCAGCGAGGAGCACTCGGCGCCGCCGCCTCGGAGCGCGCCGGCTGGAGAGCGCTGGCGGGGAGACGCAGCCCGAGCCCGGGGCGCTCTGCGGCTTCCTTCCTTCCCCGCGGCCCGGCGCTCCGCTCCGCGCCCCGACAAACCCCCAAAACACACACTAGCACACGCACGCGCACCTACGCACACGCACACACCCCAAAAAAGTGCCCCGGACCTGCGGATACCACACACAGACCAGCGAGGGGGACGAGCACGAGGTCTGAACTGCCGCGAGAGCAGTTCCAAATAGGGACTGAAAAGTAACAAAATAATGTGGCAGCCTCGCCCGGCGCCGGCCAATGGGAGCGCGGGACCCCCACGTGGGGCCGCCGGACTCGGCCTGCCACTGGGCGCCGCCGGGCGCGACGTCACAATGCCCTCTTGTGTCTAAAACTATGCATGAAAAGTAGCAATCAGGCCCTACCCGCTGGTGACTTTCGCATGGGAGTGAAAAACAGCGCTCCTCAGATCAGGAATTAACCGAAAGACATATAATAAATAGATATATATTATAGTCCTGGGCTGCTAGAGGTTTTTGTTTTTTTTTTTTACCTCCTCTTTTTTTTTTTCCCACGATCTACTAGCAAATAATTATTTGGCGGGAGGAGGAAAGAGAGAGACAGAGGCAGAACAACAAAAGAAAAAAGACAAGCTGTACAGTCCTCAAAACCTGTGGCTGGTAGTAATGTATCCATTTTTTCTGCAGTGGCGGCGAGCGATTCCTTCCTCTAATCTCATTAGGTCTGCAAAGCAGCCCAATTAGATACTATAAAACAAACAGAATCACTTTGTCACTTTAATGTTTTCACTTCAGAAGATTTAGGACCGATAAAATGGTGGCTCCCAAAGTTGCCTCCCATTTTAAAGATTTTGCTCGGAACTGAGGGGGTTTCTTTACCCCTTTTCCTGCACACACAACACTCTCACACACACACACTCACACACACACACACACACACACCCCGTCGGCCCCCAGCTTTCCTTCTTTGTTCCTTCGTCCTTCTTTTCAGAAAGCCAAATAAACAGCGTCTTTGATGTGAGACGGCTGCCAGCGAGAAGTCTGAAGAACTCTTGCTTGGCGGGCAGCGCAGATGGAGGGGTCCGGCTGCCCGCCGACAACCAACTCAATTTTCACCGTCCCCGTGGGGGGCCCTCCCGAGGGGGCGAGCTCCGCCCTGGCCGCCGCTTCTCCCCGCGCTCAGGGGCCGGGGCCAGCGGAGCCCGGGGCCGGGGCGCTCGCCCGCCGGGCTGAGGACCGGCAACTCCGAGCTCCGACTAGGTTGAGTCGGCCGCGCCGGCGGGAGCTGCGGAGGGGCGCGCGTGCGAGTCTGTGGGTGTCTCGGCCGTCAGGCCCGACGCCCCGGGAGGCGCAGACGCTCTCCCGCCCCGCGACTCCCCGCGCGGTCGCACAGGCCGCTCGACTCGGGGGGCCAGTTTGCCCGCAAACCGATAGCCTCGATCTCCTGAGCCCAGGGTTACGTCAGGGCAGGCCGGCCGCGGGGAAACGGCCCTCGAGGAGTTGGGCAGCAGGGGCGGCCGCGCCCCAGACCCCAGAGGGCACGGCCGGGTGGGGGGCCCCGGGGGCCCCCCCCGGAATCACCGAGAACCCGCACGCACCCCGGGGTCGGCGGCGGGCGCGCGCGAGCCGGCCGCGCGCCCCGGATCTATATTTTCCCCTCATTAGGAGCCGCAGTTCGCTTTGCATCTTAATGAGCTGAGAACGAGCCGGCGTTCGGGGGCCGGTGCGCAGGGAGTTACACGTGAGCGGCCGCCTCAGAGTTGAGCCTCCCCGCGCCCGCTCCGGCCGCCAGCCCTGAACCGCGCTCCTCTCTTCATTTATTTATTCTCCTAAATAAAAACATAAATCGTGTGCGGCGCGCACCGAAGAGGGGGGTGGGGAGAAGCCCAGCTCGACAGATGCGAGCATCTGGCCGCAGCATTCATTAGACACAAAATGGCTCCTCTTTGGAGCTTCCTTTTCCCCTCCCCCTTCGCTGCCCTCCCCCCTTACGTCACGGGTGGGCGCACCCGCTTTCCACCCGCCCCGCCCCTTTCTCGCTCCCGTCCCCCACGTGGGTGCCGTCGACCCCGCCCCCTAGCGAGGCTCGGAAGACCAATCAGCGATCTCAAAGGAGGCTCTCCGTTACTGATTGGCGAAACTGCCGCGAGTTGTCAGTCCGCGGCCCGAGCTGTCAGTCAAAACCACGCGGGGTGGGGGAGCGCTGACAAATGCCGAGGCTTCTGAGCCTCCCGCTTGCAAATAGTGCTTGGAATGGCTGCTTAATTAGCTTTGAATGGCTTTTCCTTCCAGCTCAAACAATCTGTCACTACCATGTGGTATAAAGGAGCCATGCATAAAAAAGTAAGCAGAGGCTAAATATCAATTTGATTTTGTGTATCAAAGGAATATTTTATTTTTCTCCCTAGTAATGAAACGTATCAATTTAAATAATAAAAGGTAAAAACACACACACACAAACCAAAAATAAATAAATAAATAAGAGAGAGAAAGAAAGAAAGAAAAACGAAAAGAAAGGGGAAAGAAAAGACAGAAAAAAAAAAGAAAGAAAGAAAAATCCCAGACTCCACGGTTCTCCGATTCCTGTGCTACGCCTGAAACAGGTAATTTCTACGGCCCACGTTCAGGAGGAAGCCTGAAGATTTCCCCTCCCCCATCTTAAACTTGCATTAAGTGTTTTGTTGTTGTCGTCCAGAAGTCTAGAAGGAATGATGAGGAGGGGTGGCCTGTAAAAGGGAAGGTGGGGGCGGGCAGGGGGCGAACATTAAAGGGAGCTCTTTGAAGCTACTAATCAAAGTGGAGGGGGTTTTAAGACCCCGTAAACTGGGGATCCCACAGCAGGTCTCGATTTGGAAACTGAAAGGAGAGGGGAGGGAAGAGCCGGGGTACGTCTCGGTCGGATTTATTAAACACAATGCCTTCAAGATGCCCGGGACAAGGCGCCTTGTCGGGCCTCCCTCTTCGTCTCACTACGGGACTGGCTCTGATGGCACCAGCCCGCAGACGACCAATGAACCCTGGCCCCCAGGCTGGGTGTAAGCGGACCGCGGGCCGAAGAGCACAGCAGCTTCGTCTCGAATTTGGGCTTCCCTGCTGCCCTGGAGGCCGCGCTGGACTCCACCTGCCAGGTGCTCCTGCAGCTCACACGTCGAGCTCACCTGGGAGCCTCAGCGCCAGCACCAGGCCTGGCACTTGGTGAAGCCAGCCGCTGCAAGCGCTGCCTTGGTTTTGCAGAGCCGGGTGAAGGACCCCCGCCGCGCAGTCGGTGCTAACGGAGCTAGAGCGCTAGAGCCCTTACTTGGTGCAGGGCTGCTACCGGGAAAAAACCCTTTTCATCCTCACCTGACTCCTGAGGGAAACAGCTTGGTCAGTAGCCCCATTTTAGAGCGTAAAAAGGAAAGGCTAAGGCGCTCAGTAATTTGTCCCCAAACTGGGCAGAGGTGCAAGACTTGAATCTGGGGCAGCCAACTTCAGCGCTGCCTTTGCTTTCCCCCAACTGGCTCTGTGCTAGCATCTGTGGAAGGGAAGGCATTCACTCGCTCACTGAGCCCCGGATCTGTGGAAAGGGTCTAAGGTTGTGGAGTCTCGGGGCCAGCTCACCGGCCCCTGACTCCCACTTGCTCTGCACTGAGTGTCCCTCGCTGCTCTCCAGGACTGCCTGAGCCCCGAAAGAGGGGCGTGGAGGTAAGCCCGGGCAGCACCCCATGAAGCTCACTGCTCTACTCCCCCACCCCACCCCACAAATTAGGGAAAACAAGGAGAAAAATAAATTTCTTTTATGCTCCAGAAAGAGAAAAGAAAATAAAAAACATGTATACAACACCCAGTCCAAAGCGCTCGACAATTATTTTTAAAGAAGGAGGGGAGTAGAGAGAGAGTTCAAACGTCTCTGTCTCCAGTTCTAATTGGAAACGTTTCAACTGTTTATGTTACAAGAAGTGTCAGGGTCATTTGCTACCGGAGAGCTGACTTTTCATTGGCTGCCTAATTGAGTACCTCGGAGTCCACCCCACGTGGGAGAGGAATTCCTGGCACATTAAAAAAAAAAATAAAAAGTCACCCGGGTGAGTCGGAAAGCCCGGCCTGGATTTCCACAGCGGAGGCTCTCCTGCCCCTCCTTTGGGACTGTAGGGTGGTTGGTGGGCAGTTGTCTGCCAGCTTGGGGAGATGCTCCTCTGGTTCTTTAAAAATAATTGTCAGACAATTTAAATAGTGTTGATACATGTTTTCTTCCTTTCTTAGGACTTACAGGGTCTAACTCAGGCCAGCCCCCAGGCTGTGGCCTCTTATTTGAGGAACTGATGGCAGTGTCTTGGGTGGGATTGTGAACCTCCCCTGTCATCCCTTCCTCTACAGCCTCCATTGGCTTTGATTTTCTTTGGAGGCCTCTAGCAGGGGCTGCACAGGGAAGAAAAGTCTCCCTCACTCAAACCCCTTTGGTTGATTCTGTGAGGCTCCTCTGACGGTTGGCAGTTGGTTCCAAACTTAGGGCAATTCTGTTCCCCACCACCACCACCAGCACCTCCACCACCGCCAGGCACCCCAGGTCTACCTATCTCCACAAGCAAGCACCTCACCATAGAGCAAGAGGGAAGGGAATTTTATTTATTTAACAAACTCTTACATAGTCCTTACTCTGTGCCAGACACTGTTCTAAGCACTTGACAAATATTAACACACTTAATCCTCTCACAATGAACAAAGTGGGTGCTATCAGTATCACCCCTATTTTACAGTGGGTGCAACTGACATGCAGTGGCACAACGACTTGTCCAAGGTCACTTCAGAGTCTTCACAGCCACACCCAGCTTGGCTTTCCTGGCAATTAGGCTCAGGCTGTAGGATAGACCACAGGAAACTGAAGGGCCCCAGGAAGTCCCAGAGGGAGTCCCTGTAGAGCTCATCCTAAAGCCACCTCATTTCAGGGAAGGGGACTAGGTGCCAGGAGATTGAGGGACTTCCCAGGGTCTCCCAGCCCCTCTTCCAATTCTCTCTGCTGGTCCAAGTTATGTGACCTTAGGGGACTTATTTCATCTTGTTAAGCCTCCATTTCCTCATCTGCAGAGTGAAGAAAGCAATCCCGCCCTCCTCAGAGGATTGTTTTGAGGATCGATGGAGATAATGCACGCGATGTACTCAGTACAGAACCTGGAACATTAAGTGATCAATAACAGTTAGCTATGGCGGCCATGATGATGATGTCGTACCATCAGGTGATTCAACTCCTCGTACATTTTCTGGGTGCCTACAGTGATAAGGAAGGTCTGATGTCCCAGCCCTTGGGGGCAGTGAACCATGCAGTA